TAAAATTCAAATTTTAAATGATACCTATTTTATCCCTAAATAACAAACAAACTTTATCAGTAATATCATTATATATACTACTGCCGCCAAATTCCAACCCATTTCTCAGTCATTGAATATTCCAGCTATCAAAAAGTATGTTCATCTATTCGTTATTATTTTGTGTTTCATTTTGAAGTTATGTTTACTTATGTTAATTAATAATCTTAATTTTCTCGACAACCATCATGTAGGCCTTTAACAATGATGTGGATACAACAAAACATGAATCCAGTGAAAAACAACTTTCTCTCCAAAAAAAGAAAAAACGTGATTTGGCACTTAAATCTTAGAAATGGAATGAAGTTATTGATCTTGAAAGTTCTGATAATCAACATCAGTTGACTGATGAAGATGTGGATACAACAAATACAGTTGATTCAGTAAAACCGTTCAAAATGCCCCGACTCACAATCCAGACGCGAAACAGGTTCTTTAAGCTTCATCATCTATTAGATGACGAAGATTACGTGTATTTCTTGATATTATCATTTGTATTAAAACAGTTATTTCATAATTTCATAAAAGTAACTTAGTTTATATATTATATTTTTAAATTCTAATCACTTTAATGCTAAATTGAATATTTGTAATGTTTTCAAATTGTAGGTGTTTATTAATATTATTTTTAAATTACCTTTTGCAGAAATTTGTTGGACTCAACTGTACATATGAACCAGCCAATACAAGGTGAAGATGATGCGCCACATCAGGCTGAAGATGATGTAGGTGTGATCCAGCCAAATCCAGTTGAAAATGATGTACGTCATCCAACAGGAGCTGATGTGGCTTGGCCTGATGAAGAATGAGCGTTAATTTTAGTTTTTTAATAATTTGAATGACTTTTGGTAGTACATTCAAGTCGTAAATTTGGTATTTTATATTTGGAAATATATGTTTTAGCTACTAGGATAATGAGATTTTAAGTTTTTTCTTATGATTATTATTGAATTTATGGTTTTTGAATCATAATTTTCATAGTATATTTGTTTATTGTTTATTGTTTATTATAGCATCCTACTTTCATTTCTTATTACAACATTATACAAATAATTGAAGTACAATGCCTGATTGAGAAAACCATTAAAGTTAGGAATCTGTTATAGTATAAAGAAATGAAAGTATGATGTTGTGGTATTCGGATACCTCATCAGTTATCTTTATTTTCAAAACCAGATACGAAAAGAAAACTATTTTGAGACAAAGCCTTTTCAAACACCAATGCTCTTACATTGAGTCTTTTCCAAATGAGCTGTTTTTTAAATAATATAATGAAAGTACAATGTATTAACGGGTGTTTGGTATTAATTTAAACGCAAGGGCTGTTTGGTAATCTTATATCTTATCTATATATATATATATATATATATCTATATATCTATCTATATATATATTATATATATATATATATCTTATATATATATATATATATATATATATATTCTATTATTCAGTAACCTGATAAACAGATTTAAAAAGACAATATTTCAGAATCATAAATAATTTCATAACCACTCATGAAAATATATGTTTATATTGTTATATTATCTTAGCATTTTATTTTGAAAAGTCAACATAAAATACAACTTTTACAGTTTTTTCTATTATGGTTCACATAAGGTAAATGACAGTTTAAACCAGCAACAACATCTATACTTGAATGCCCCAAACCTCCATCTACATACATCTAAATTAAACGATTTAATTTAATAGGATAGCGCAAATTCCTCTATAAAGTGAATGGTTACCATAAGAAACCATTTTAACTACGATTTTAAGTATGCTAAATAATAAAATATTTCTCTAGGAGTCTAGGAACTTCACTTAGTTTTCCTTCTATAAAGTCGGTAACATGTATAGATATATAAAGAAACTGTGATTTTTATGAAAATGATATTTTATACAATCAAACTTTATAAAAATCATATTACGAAAAGATAATATATTGACTTATTCACGATAAGGTACTCAAAAGTTTAAATATTTTCGTTCCTAAATTTTAGGGATAGTATTGTGTTTTAGGGGGAAAATGAGCTATAAATAGTCTCAAGTACGCTTCAGTAAAACTCAATTTTTAATACCAATATTAATACACCTAAGAGATAAAATGAGGATTTGGACCGATGAAGAGGTTAATGAACAAGTTGAATGTGTTAAAATCATGGTGCATGAATGGAGTGTTGCAAAACAGAAGAAAAGAGAGTTGGCATTGGCAAACTGGAAATAGGACGAAGTTATTGATATTTCAAGTTCTGAAGATGAACGGGTGAATGATGAAGCAAAGGAAACGGCTGATACATCCATTTCAACAACGGTTACCCGACCAATCAAGAAAACCCGAGTCACGATTCGTACACGAAGCAAGGGTTATCAGCTTGGTGACGAGTAAGAAGATGCAGTTGTGGACTCCTAAGTTTTTTTATTAGAAGTATTTTGTTAGGCGCGGATTTTATGTTTTTTCCTTCCCTAGATTGTTTAAATAAAGTTAGACATTTTCTAATGTTGGTATTTTAAATTTTTTTTATGATTATCATTGTTATTTGTAGATTTTGCACCTAGATAAAATAACAATACCTCAGTTGTCAATGTTACATAGAGGATGTTTAAACTTCATAGAGTCCACGGTAAACCTTAAATCCATCATATTTGATGATCTTTGAAACTCTATTCCATCACATGTTCTATAGCAAACCACCACTGAAAAATAGTACCTGATACAAACAATATGATAAACAATTAACTCAATAAAGTATTCCTTCTGTCCAAATACAACATCATAAATTCACTTTTTCTACAATCTAAAAGTCCTACATTAGTGGATATTGCTAATATTGAGTGGGTTTTAAAAAGTAAAATGTTTTTATATGAATAAATCTATATTGCTATTTCGAGCAATGCTGCCTAATTTTATTTTTATTGTTGGTTGGCGTCCCATTGACCATTCTGGCCCTGGAAGTTATTTTAGAAAAATGACTCACATGGATTTTCTATGTTTCAAAAAGCACCATGAATTTCAATGTTAAACATCTCAAAACCGATAAATAATTTTTTTATTGAACTAATACCGAAATATTGATTATTTATCAGATAAAAAGATAATGCATATCCAAATACATTACGGATTTTAAAAACAATTTTTTAAATATACATGCACATATATATGAATTGTATCTTATCCATTCCTAACAAACTTTAAACAGATTTATTAGAATATATATCTATACTATCACAGTACGTCATTGACAAACAGAATTTGTGATTCAGATTAAGAGAGAAAACTTTCACCAGTTCCACAATCTGCTCATACGTATGTTTTCCATGTTTTTTAAACTATATTTTTTACTTCCTCATGTATACACCATATTCAATAACTATGTTTTTCTTTCAACATGCATAGAAGACGTTTGTTCTATAAGGTTCATAGCAACAATCTATTCTATCAGCATCATCAAAATAAAACAGGTATATGTATTTTCCTTAAGATTATCTCTTATTATATTAATATGTATTGGGATACTTATATTAGAATGATTCATACTCCAATTCCAACATTGATTCATAAAAACAAAATCACCATTAAAAACATAAAGGTAAAGAACAATATTTTTTCATTTAAACAACTTCATAAATTTAGTTACCTGTGTCGCATCTCCATGTAACTATCTTCATCTAAGAAATGAAATATCAGACAATCAAGATCTGTCGGCAACCCATGCAGTCTTGATATATCATATAAACACCAAAATTGTTAAAAAATATCAATATGTCAATATATATACCAAAATCATGTTCAATAAAAATAAGTACACATATATACCTTATCTCATTTCACAAATTTAGTATCTTTGTTAATTAGGTTTCCAATGTGCCAGTAAAACTGTAACATTACTCCTCTTATTTTGTGTGATAATCACATTTCACTGGTTTCACCTGCACAAAATTCGTAATAGTATCAGATGATATATCAAAATAAGAACCGTTTAAGGAGCCATCAACAGTAAATAAAACCTATGAGTGAGGATGAACCGATTTTGAGTTAAAGAAAAAAAAACCTTCTGATGGTCTCTCTTAAGATTTTCCTGAAAAAAAAAATACATAAATTGCTTAGTTTATGAAAGTGATTTTGGCCTTTATTTCTCATTCTATACCAGTAGAACAAGGATAAGCTAAAACACATTAATTGATGTTTAACTGAGATGACACAAACACAGAATCAAACCTTATAAATTACAAGACACTGATCAAGATCAAACTTAGGCACATTAATATCACAGTTGACTTTCTAATTTTCATTATCTAATACAACTACCTAAGTGACCGAAGTTGCTTATAAAGAAATATTGGGCATTGAATATCAAATAAAAGCACCTCTTATCTGTATTATCCAATTATCAGTTTCCAATTATCTTAACTAAGCTCCCAAATGTAAAGATTATATGGGATTTTATTTTTGAACCTGTATATCAAAATTGTTTGAAATTCAAACATTAGAACCTGAAATGGAGAGGAAACACCATAAGGTGAGAGTAAACATTGACCTTTTAAATCCATGGAGAGAGTGAGAAATAAGATTGAGAAACTTTATGAAAAAGAAAAGGCAATTAGTAGAATCCTCCTACAATCCATTAAGAAGAAGGCGATTATGTGATAAACACTTTCTGATGGTCTCTCTTAAGATTTTCCTAAAAAAATAAATAAATTGCTTAGTTTATGAACGTGATTTTGGCCTTTATTTCTCATTCTATATCATCAGAACAAGGATAATCTAAAACACATTAATGATGTTGAATGAGATGACACAAACATAGCTAATGATGCATACCTTTCTCTTGAAGAAGATGCGATTATGAATAAACAAACACTTCATGTTGATCTCTCTTTCAAATGTCTGAAAATTATACAATAAATGCTTGGTTTAGGGATTTTCTGTTAGGTATATGGTTGAGAGATAGATATAGAGGATGAGAGTTAGACCAAAAGAAAGTGTCAGAACCTGTAAATTCATAAGCAGACGCGTCTCAACAACAAGAAAAGCAGCAACCAATAAGAAACGACATATCCTCAACGCAACCCCAGTGGGTTTCTCCAAACAACAATTGCATCGATTTCGATCTGTGGTGATGTCTAGATCTGGTGTCAACATAACTCTGTTTTGCAATCGTCGTGTAAGTCCGGATGAGAGATAGGGGTTATAGATGAGAAGGATCTGGTGGTTGTTTGACGTGGTCGTGGTAGTCGCCGATGGTTTCTATTGATGAAGGTTGTACGCGTGGAGGCTGTGTTTGGATGTTAAACGGATCAGATGAGGTCAATGAAAAGGGTAGATGCGCTTGGGAGAGAAAAAGTGGTAGATGAGTGTCAGATTCTTTAGGGTTAGAAAAAGGAAGATGGGTGTCGGCTTCTTTAGGGTTAGAAAAATGAATTCACAAATGCATCTTCCTATAAACAAAGATATATTAATCAGATTATATTAAATGTGTGAATGTATTTAAGCAAAAAAAATGTTTAAAATATATGTTCAATTAATTTAATTTGTTTTTTAAATAAGATTCAACTTTACCATAACCAATTAATTTTATCAAGAAGCTTTTTTATACTATTTATTTTATTGTCTTCCAATAAATCCACAATTTTTGTTATAATTCATTATGTTAAGACTATTTTGTGCTAATATATATATAGGGTAATAAATGTAAACATTTAAATTTTTATTATTTTCAATAGAATTGGGTGATTTATATTTTTAAACAAAATATAAGAAATTGATATGTAAAATATAACTTTAATTGAAAAATATTTCAGTGATGGATGGTCATATTACTGTTCGAAATTTTTCGACATTGCGAAGCGTTTACATATGGTGGAACATATTAGTTGTTCGATTTTTATATGTGTGGGACGATGTTGAAAATAACTAAGTCATTATTTGGCTGATTGATCGTAACGTAAGTATTAATACAATAAAATAAATATGTCATTTTTTTGTCTAATATTCTATTTATTATTTACATAATTGTTAATATATTACATATCCAGAGAGACAAAATGATTGCCATCGTCCCACAATGTTTAAGGCAAACAGTTTTGAACATGAATTTGGTTGGACGTGTATTGTCCTTAAATCATTTCCAAGTTGATCAGTTTTTCGAAAATCACCCCACCTATCAAAGTTACAAAATTTTCTTTGGTGATTGGGCAATACTGATAAAAATTAACACGGTGTTTACTCGATTGGGAAATGATGTCGCCAATTCATTTCCACATTATCCATTATGTTCTTCTATCACAAGCCTCGCAAGAGATTTTAGCAATCGAAGAATGATGATTGGTACATTTATATATTTAATTATATATATTTTGTTTTTATGAATTGCATACGACAAATTAAATTTATAGTAATTTTGATATATTTTAGATGTTACTGGAAAAAATCGTTTGGGGAAGACGAATTACACCATTCTATGCATTTGAACTATTTCTCCAAAATGAAATGTAAGTGTGTGTGTATATATATATATATATATATATATATATATTATATATATAATATATATATATATATATATATATATATAAGGTGAGGTTCAATAGAGAACCATAATTAACCAATGAACCAGGTAACCAATCGTGAGCGTCGGAAATCATAACAATCAACAGCCAAAGAAATAGATGTACACTTTTACATTGGATGCACATACACCGGATTATACCAAAAAATCCACCATTTACAAAAAAACCCACCACTTTTTTTCATTTAAAATTTTTTTAGGCCATGTTTTTTATCGAAAAAAAAACCGAATATACCGTTGTTCACGATTTTTCGTCCTCTTTCCATAGAGATCCATGATGATATATAAAAAACGAACTTTTTTTTTTCGAAAAAACCCACTTCATTTTCTTTGATGAAAAAAGTTAAGGTCTATTTTTTTATAGAAAAAAATTAATAAATTTATCAAAATTCATATTTTTTGTACTTTTTTAAACATAGATTCATATTCATGTTTAAAAAAACAAAAAAAAAACAATATTTCAGTTCAGATTAACATTGTGAACCTGTTCAGATTCATATTCTAAACTTGTTCAGATTCACATTGTGAACCTCCTTAGATTCACAGTGTGCATAATAATAAGTCAGATTCATAGTGTGAATCTGAACTGATCGGAGCTTTTTCACATTGTGAATGTTAAAATTTGAAATGTTTACAGTTTAGATTCACACTGTGAATCTACACTGATCGATGTTTTTTTTTTTTTTTTTTTTGTGAACCTTCTCAGATTCACAGTGTGCATAATAGTAATTCAGATTCACAATGTAAATCTGAACTGTTCGAGATTTTTCATATTGTGAATGTTAAAAATTGAAATATTTACAGTTTAGATTCACAGTGTGAATCTACACTGTAAGAGTTTTTTTTTTTTTTTTTTTTTTTTTTTTTTTTTATAATCAGTGTTGATGTTTATTAATAGAGTACAAAAAATTAATATTTTTGGTATAATTAGTTTTTTTTCATAAAAATAAACTTAAATATTGAAAAAACTAAGAAAATTAAGTGGGTTTTTTTTGAAAAAAAAAGTTTGTTTTTTATATATCATCATAGATCTCTATTGGAAAGAGGACGAAAAATCGTGAACAACAATATATTCGGTTTTTTTTTTCGATAAAAAACTTGGCCTAAAAAAATTTTAAATGAAAAAAAGAAGTGAGTTTTGTTATAATCCGGTACATGTGCGTCCATTATAAAAGTTTACAACCCTTCCTTTTGCCGTTGATCGCTTTAAATTCCGACGTTTTGGATTGGTTCATTGGTTCTTTGATTAATAATGGTTCTCTATTGAACTTTTCTATATATAATATATATTATATATATATATATATATATATATATATAATAATATATATATTATATATAGATCTATGGGGATAGGAAATATACATTACAGCCCCACCTAAGCTTAGGTACTAAACCTCTAAAATATGTCGTTTTAACTTCGTAAATATACCCGGTTTGGTTTCACTTGGTAAATATATCATCCTCGATAACATTTCTTTCTTTCATTATCGTTTTACCATCTCTGTTTTCTTTCCTAAACCCTATACCCTAAACACTAAACCCTAAACCATAAACCTAAACCCTAAACCCTAAACCCTAAACCCGAAACCTAAACCCTAAACCCTAAAACTAAACCCTAAACCCTAAACCCTAAGCCCTATTGTGTCGATCTTGAATTTACATCTTCAAGTATTAATCGTGAATCCATTAACCGTAATCTTTATATAGTAAAACAATGTATTTTCAAGAGGTTTAGTACCTAAGCTTAGGTGGGGCTGTAATGTATATTCCCTTTTCCCTATATATATATATATATATATATACACACACACACACACACACGCTAACATAATGTATTATATTTAAATATATTAACCAATTTTCATTGTTATTATGTGTTTTAACAACATTTTGTTTAAATCAATAAGGGACATATTATCAAGTTGATGTTCAGTCACGTACTGATGAGCCTTATGATACAATTGTATCTTGCAATATTCAATCAATCAATAATTTATGTCTCTAGGGTCAAGTTGGTCCACCTAAATTTGCGTAAGTTAACTGTGTGCGACATTATATATAGTTTCATTATTTACATATTAATTATTTTAATATACCTTACTAACTATATATTACATGTCCATACATATAATATTTTGGTTTCTACTGTACTAACCGATGTCACGTTGGATCCAAGGATACCGGAAGCTGAGCGAATTAAAATTAGAGATAGAGAGAATAATTAATTTTTCTACAGTTATTTGTTGGCGGATTATGTAGTAGTTATTTGTTTGCGGATTATGTGGTAGTTATGTGTTTGCTGATTTTTAGGAGGTTGTTTGCTTTCGTACTTTTTATATTTATTTGTTTGCGGATTTTGTGATATGGATTTTTAGTATGTTATAATGATTTAAAACTTTTAAGTTTATAAATTATAATTTCTTTGTTTGACTACTTTGTTTTATATTATTTAGTTTTGTTATTTCTGTTTATGAGATATTTATACAGTTGTATAATAAGTAAGACAAATAATGTACCAAATAAAAATTACAAATATCATTTAAATATAAATCAATCAATATGTATTGTTTCAAATATTGAAAAAAAACTATTAAAATTTGAAAGAAATATTTACTGAAAAATACTAATGAGACTTCAAATCAATATATATCGACAAAAAACAAAAACTATTAAAACATTACTTCAAATATTAAAAAAAACAATATAATTTAATGTAAGGATCAGTCTCATATATGAATAATTAGTTCACCTCAATCAATGTTTGATTAATACGGTTATAAGTATTGTATATAAAAAACGTTTTTTTTATTACAATGTGTTATAAAAAAAATCTACATTATTGTTTTTACATTTTTACAGTTGACATGGTGATTGTAGACAATGAAAATAGGCCTAATGAGGCTGTCCAACTTGATGTAAATGCACAAAAGGGTATGTTTCATATGTGCAACATGATTAATACATTATCTTTATGCATAATTCATCCAAAAAAAATTATTGCAGAAAAAAGGAAATTGTATAATAAGACATATTATGAACGACTAAAGGAAAAGAAGAAAATAAGACGAACAACTAATGGAGAAGTAAGTAGTCAAAACATGACACCTATGGCAAATGTGTCTACATTAGAGGACCCTGACCGATATTACTAATGCAACTCCTACAAGTGTATTGGATTTTGCTCAAAGGAAGTCGATTAAGAACAGAATTGCATATCAACGACGCAAGGAACGGAGCTCACCGACAACACCTATTGAAATTAGTCAGGAGGATCCATATAACTTTGTTTATAATGGTATCCCTAAAGAACATCGTGTTTTGAAGGTGCAGAAACCATGTGTTTATTGTGGAGCAAAACGATTTCAGTTTGAATTCCCTACCTTTTGTTGCATGGATGGTAAGACAAAGTTAGCACATTCCTCTATTCCTGAAGAGCTACTCAATCTCTTCACATCCAGAAACGAATTAGGTAGGACCTTTAGACAAATGATACGTTGCTACAACAACAACTTTTCTTTCGCATCAATGGGCGTCAATTATGATAAAACATTGACAAATATGACATCTGGAGTATACACTTTTTGTGTGAATGGTGGAGTATATCATAGAATCGTTCAGTTATTTCCAAGAGATGGAATACCTCGGTACTTACAATTGTATTTTTACGATGCTGATTATGAGATGTCACATAGACTCCAGAGGAAGAATATTAATAAAGAAATTGCTAAAAAGTTAATTCGTGTTCTTGCTACAAACCCATACATGAAGACATTTCGAAGACTTGCTGATCTAGGACCGCTTGACAATTACAAAGTCACTTTAAATGCATCGGTAGAACTTGATCAAACGGTATACAACCGACCAACCACATCTGAGGTACCATAATACTTTTTGTTTACAAATTATAAAATAATTAAATCATGTATGACATATGACTGCATATTACACACCATATTTAATCATATTGTTTCTATCATAAAAACCTCAGGTTGCTGGTATTTGGGTTGAAGGTAACGACAACATAGCCGCATATAAACGAAGTATTATCGTTTATGGAAAATCCGACAAACCGCAAACAATTCAGTCTTACTTGGGATGTTATGACCATTGTGTTATCCTTTATTTTTTCCTAATGGTGAGTCTGGATGGCATTATAATATCCCAAGACATGGATTTCCCATCAATAATATTATTAATGACGATGAAGAATGCGATGAGGATTTAGAAGGTACACATATCATAACTTTTTAGATTTTATGTAAACTAACAAACCTTACATTCTGTACATATCACTAATTTTTTTTTCACAACATCAACATTGTGTAGACTCTAATACAAAAACAGGGCGGAATACTATAAGTATGCGAGAGTACTATTGCTATAAGTTTCAAATCCGGTCAACTTATAATGTAATTTTGCTGGGAGGGAGATTACTACAACAATTTGTGGTAGATATCTACATCAAGCTTGAGACTTCACGTTTGGAATTTTGTAGAAAAAATCAGTCAAAAATAAGAGCTGATTTATACCAAGGTCTTGTGGACTGTGTTAATGCTGGTGAGGTTCGACCGACTATGATAGGGCAACGTGTTGTGTTGCCTGCAAGTTTCATCGGAGGCCCCCGTGACATGCGACGACGATTTCTTGACGCCATGACTTTAGTTCAAGATGATGGGAAGCCTGGCATATTCCTAACAATGACATGCAATCCAAACTGGCCAGAAATAAAAAATGAGTTACTCCCTTGGCAGACAGCTCAAGATCGACCGGACCTTGTGTCAAGAGTTTTTCATGCTAAGTTAGAGGATCTTAAGAAACAACTCTTCAAGAAGCACATCCTTGGTGTGGTGGGCGCACACGTTTATGTCATTGAGTTTCAAAAACGCGGTTTGCCACATGCACATTTCCTCTTGATAATGATGCCTCCACACAAGCTTACTAATGCAGACCAGTATGACAAAATAGTATGTGCTGAAATTCCAGACCCAAAAAGGCATCCTAAAATGCACGAACTGGTTGTCTCACACATGATACATGGTCCTTGCGGTAACTTAAATTCTGATTGTCCTTGTATGAATAATGCACAAAAGAAATGTCGTTTTCGATACCCTCGACAATTAAACGAAACCACGTTACAAGGAAATGACTCATATCCTGTGTACCGAAGGAGGGATAATGGTATAGAGGTGGAAATACGAGACCATAAGATGGATAACAGATAGGTGGTCCCGTATAACCCAAAGTTGTTAATGATGTTTATTTGTCATATGAATGTTGAGGTCTGCTCGACTATAACCTCTGTGAAATATGTGTTTAAGTATATTTACAAAGGTCACGACAAACAAGTTATCAATATTGATCCGGATGGACAACCTGTTGTTATCAATGAGATAAAATGGTTTCAAGATGCACGATATGTCTCGCCTCCCGAGGCAATATGGAGGATTTTTTGCTTCCTTCTTTCTCAGATATACCCTTGTGTGATGGCTTTGCAGATGCATCTCCCAGGTCAGCAGATGGTTAGGTTCAGTGAGGATGATATGCTAACTGACGTTGTTGAAAAGGAAAGAGATAAGAAATCAATGTTGACTGCATTTTTTCTAAAAAATAAAGAAGATATCAGTGAGAGAGAATATAAATATATAGATTTTCCAAAAAACTTTACGTGGGATCCGAATTTACGTCATTGGAATCGTCGACAACAAGGACTAATGCGAGGTCGTTTGGTTTCTGCTAATCCCGCTGAAGGGGAGCGATACTACCTTCGACTCCTTTTATCTCATATTAGTGGCCCGACATGTTTTGAAGATCTCTACACAGTCAACAACATAAAACACCCAACATTTCTGAAAGCAGCTCTTGAAAAAGGGTTAATAGAGTCCGATGATGGTTTATCACAATGTATTACAGAGGCATCTTTCTTTCAATTTCCCAATGCTCTTAGAAGGTTGTTTGCAACGATTTTGGTTTTTTGCGAGCCAGGAGATGTTCGTAAGTTATGGAATGACCACTACAATGCACTTTCAGAAGATTATAGGCGACAATACGGAAGTATCGAGAGAGTCCAGAATATGGTCCTCACCGACATCATGGTATTCCTACAATCTATGGGTGATGATATTGATAATTTTGATATTCCAAAGATAGATCAAAATGTCGATTTAGAATTTGGAGTTTTTCATGAGGTACAAGAAGAATGTTCTATAGTTATAGAATCTGAACATTTAATGGCCCGAGATTTTCTCAATCCTGAACAAAAATTTGCATATGATGAGATCATACGGCATGTCGATAATGATATTCCAGGAGTGTTCTTCATAGACGGTCCCGGTGGAACATGAAAGACATTTTTGTACAAAGCTTTACTTGCTAATATCCGTTCGTGTGGTCATATTGCACTTGCCACCGTTTCATCGGGTGTTGCGGCTAATAACATGCCAGGGGGGAGAACAGCTCACTCTCGCTTTAAAATTCCCATCAATCTTGAAAATAACCCGGTCTGCAGGATTTCAAGACAAAGTGGCACGGATCAACTGCTTCGGACTGCAAAGTTAATCATTTGGGATGAATCGTCGATGGCTAAAAGACATGCATTAGAGGCTGTTGACCGTACAATGAAAGCTATCACTGGGGTGATGCTACCCTTTGGTGGAAAGATAAGGGTTTTAGGAGGTGATTTTAGACAAGTGTTGTCGGTCGTTAGACGTGGAACACAAGCACAGACAGTTAATGCTTGCATACAAATGTCGCCTCTTTGGTCTTCGATTGTCAAGTTGCGGTTAACCATAAATATGAGAGCACTAACCGATCCATGGTTCTCAGACTTTCTATTACGTGTCGGTGATGGAGTTGAAGAAACGGTGCACGAAAACTTTATTCGCATCCCTGATGATATGGTAATTCCCTTCACTGAAAAAGAAAAATTGTTGAATGCTTTGATTGATGCAATATATCCGTCCTTGGAAATTAATATATCTGCATCGGATTATATTATTTCGCTGCAATACTATCCAGAAGAAATGATAGTGTCGATGAGATTAATGATTATTTGATCGGTCGATTCCATGGAGAAGAGATAATTTACTATAGCTTTGATGAAGCCATAGACGATATAAATAACTTCTATCCCGTGGAATTCTTGAACACTCTCAGTGTTAGTGGTTTGCCCCCTCATTACCTAAGACTTAAAGTTGGATGCCTGGTAATACTGTTACGAAATCTCGATCCATCAAATGGATTGTGTAACGACACCCGATTGATATATAAAAGTTTTCAGCACAATGTCATTGATGCCGAAATAGCTGTTGGTCAACATGCTGGGAAGAGGGTATTTTTGCCAAGGATTCCTCTAAGTCCGTCTGAAGATGACATGTTCCCGTTCAAGCTGAAGAGAAAACAATTTCAAATTCAATTATGTTTTGTGATGACGATCAACAAAGCTCAGGGACAAACAATTCCAAGTGTAGGTATTTGTCTATCGGAATCGGTTTTCTCGCATGACCAACTTTATGTGACATTATCTAGAGGGATATCACGTTCCAATACAAAAGTTTTAGTGAAGCTTGACGAACAATTCAACGACAGTGAAGTCTATACATCAAATGTGGTGTATAAAGAAATGTTGCACGATTAATGGTGCACAATCAATCATGTGTTCGTGTGCATCAATAAAGAGTCCCAACTTTTTCATTTTTAGTTCTTACGGATTTCGTTTATGCCAGCATGACTCTCATTGATAATTGTTTAGACGTAGTAAACTATTTGTGCAAAATAACTAATCGCCACCTCTACCAACTAATTTCTGAAAAAAGTATTCGCACCCGGCGCTTGGCGGGGGTAAACGGCTAGTGTGTGTATATATATATATATATATATATATATATATATATATATATATATATATGTTAGAATTTTGAAAAAACTTCTATAAAAATAATCGCTATAAAATCTGGCACCAAACAAGTAATAATTAAAGAGGTAATGTTAGAAAAAAAATGAGGTATTAATAGCAGAATGTTATTTAATTTGTTAGGACCGCCTATAAAACTATCACACATAGCCACACAGGATTTCAAATTCCAATAGATTATAATATAAAAAAAACAAATGGCCGAGAGGTTCTTAACCATTAAAAGATGTATTATAATATGCATTAGAGAAACACTATACAAAAAATTTGCTTAATCATGGAGGTTTTCCCAAAATCACTGTATACATTATTAATCAAGCAGAAATATTAATAAACGATAATAAGAATTGATTGATAACTCAAACCATATTATTAAACAATCAAGATGCAGGATAAATAATACATGGATTTATTGTTCGGTCACGTTTTCACGCACATTATTTTACAATGAACAAAGAAAGTGATGCCCTTTGTCTACGGATACACAATAGCACAAGAGATTAACATACATGATCCAATCAGTAATTAAGCACACACATTATTAGAATCCTCACAAATATATCCAATGCATGACACAACTTTTATTACCTTCACGAACAAGTAATTTTCTGTCATCTTTTTCAGGAACAAGTAATTAAATGCCACGGTATGTAACCTGAGTGTCAAAATACATAGTCAATAATTTCATTATTATATAATTGACGTTTTGATGAACTAGATGAAACGTACCATGATGCGTGTGGAATCAGTTCTAGTCAACAATCGTGTCTTTGAGATTCAAATTTGGGCAGTCGTAAGTAATTAAAGTTACTATTGATGGGAAAGTGACGCCAATCTTTTTCAGCATCGGTAGGTCTTCAAAATAGAGTGTGTCTAAATCTGGCATATAGTACAAGCGTGTAAACAAAATCTGCAACTTCTCGCATGACTTTATCTCGATGATCTTAACAAAGTCCAGAAAAGAGGCAACATATTCAAGCATCGGGCAACTTTCCACTATAAGAGTAGAAAGACGTCTTAAACCTGAGATTCCGTCTAAACTCTTCAAACTAGTCGCACCAGTGATCCATAATGTCTCCAAAATATCGGATGATTGGAAGATGCGCTCAATTTGCTTCACTTTTGGGCATTCCCAGATTTTGAGAGTTTGTAACTCAGGAAATGAGAGGCCAATGTTCTCTAGTTCTGGTAGTTCCCATAAATGCAATGTTTTTAAGCTTGGAAGTATACCTTGATCCGATTGATTAAAGAGTGATACTATCTTGTTACAGTATTTGATTTGAAGAAATTCCAAGTTCTTTGGTAGCCATGATGATTGAAATACGATTGAAAGCTTTGGACAACTTTCCAAATACAAACTCTTGAGACTATCGAAGCTCCCAGATGCCGGTTTCCCATTATATATACTTTCCAAACTACGATTATTCGAAATTCCAAGATTCTGCAAGAAAAATTCAGAATTGGAATTTTCCTCTCCTTCCTTTTCGGTAAAAATGGTGATTGTTTCATCACACCTGTCGATCCAGCATCCCTTTACTTCCTTGAGCTTAGAGACATCAAACTCAGATGGCAAACCCTTGAACTTATTATCAATCAGAAAGACCATATCAAACTCAGATGGCAAACCCTTGAACTTATTATCAATCAGAAAGACCATGTTGACTTTACTGATGATGTTCTCGATACCCTTTGGGAAATGGTTAAAACCACGAATCTGCAACGACTTGTTTCCCTTGTATTGAGGAAACCCGTATGCTTGGAGGTAGACATCTCGAAAAACAAGTTCATGTCTTTGAAGATATCGATCTCCAGTTTCACCTTCCACCATGTAAGGAATTGCACATAAATGGCTCTCCTCTTGCAAAGGATTTTCCTTGAGAATTTCAAGAAACTGAGAACCACTAGTAAATATGGGAGCTTTGTCATCCTCAGACAACCGACAGATGCTCCATTGATCTTGATTCGCCTCTTTTGATGAAGATTCTTCATGGCTGGTGTCAACATTGACATTTGGAAACTCGATGTGGTCAAGATGACTTAATTCAGACATCACATCAGGTATTTTTGGGTTGGACCCCAAGAGATCTTGAAACTCTTCATCTTCAGAGGACTCCGCGATAGAACAACCTTGAAGTAGGAGCTTTTGAAGGTTGTGGGACCCACTGAGGTTTCTCAAACGCTTGATTGATGATCCTGAAAGATTCAATACTTCAAGCTTACTTAATGGCTTCAAATCTAGTTCTGTGTCTGAGCATGAGCAACCAGCAAGAGAAAGACGAGTAAGGTTTGTGAATTTTGAAATGGAGGGAATTTGTTCAAGGGAAGTATTAGAGAGGTCAAGAATTTGAATGTTGCTCATATCCTTCACGAATTCAGCTCCAGTAGGTTTCAAGGTAACACCAGAAAGATTTAACTCCTCAAGATTTGGCAAGGATACATTTAATTCAAAATTCTTCAAGGCTTTGCAGTTCTTTAGTAGGAGCTGACGGAGATGGCTTGGATTTGAAAGGGAAGGGAAGGACTCGATCTTTGTTTCAGAAAGATCGATCTTTTGAAGGCGAGTTTTTCCCTCGAAAGATTGATTTCCAATATCATCTAAAGCACTACACCATGAGGCATCAAGAATCTCCAATTTTGTAGCAGATTCTAACGATGGCAAACTTTTTAATGATAGACAACGTGATAGGTACAATTCACGAAGATTGAAAAGCTCTGAGAGGGAAGGAAGATCTACAACATTAGTTTTTGAAAGGTTGAGGACTCGAAGACATGTGATTCGGTCAAAGAATCCCTCCTCGAACTCTTTAAGATTCGAACCTGAAACATCAAGTACCTCGAGGTATACAAGGGATTCGATGCATGGAAGTCTTTCTAACTGAGGGCAACTCTTAAGATAAAGAGAACGAGGGTTGGAAATGTTAGAAGGCAGACGATCAATTGCAGTTTCAGATAGGTCAAGGGTTTTGAGGGATCTTAAGCTTTGTAAAGACGAATCGTGGAACTCTTCGAATTCTATGGAACCAGAGAGATCAAGAGTTTGGAGACTGGTTAGTGAAGTTAGCCCTCGCAATCTGCCTAAACCTTTACATCCTCGACATAACAAATGAGTGAGTGATTCAATGTTTTTGAGCAACGGGGTGGTGGAAACCAAGGTATTAGAAAGATTAAGGCTTTGAAGATTCTTAAATTTCAAGAAGTTTTTATCGACAGTATCCAAAGCGATATTACCCGAGAGGTCAACGACCAAAAGATGTTCAAGTTTTGAAAGGCTCTCAAGCTTCTTCAAACGCTGACAATCCTTAATGACTAGCCAACGTAGTTCAAGAAGATTATAAAAGGCCTGAGGTAAATATCTGATTTCAAGTCCAGATAGATGAATACTTTGAAGATTCACCATATTCTTGAAGAATATCGATTTTATTGACCTCAAAGACCTTCCACCACCAGAGATCTCAAGAACACGCAAAGCTTTTAAAGGGAGCTTGACATCTTGCAAAAACTCACAACCTCTAAGCACAAGAACACGAAGATTCTCCATCATATCCAGCGACTCTGGCAAAGATTTGATGGTAGGATTGAATAAAGCTAGAACTTGAAGTTCCATTTCGGATTTAAGGAAGTTCATCATGACTTGCTCGCTAAAATGGGTTCCGTCTAATAATAAAGTTGAAAGATTCTGACCAACTTCCTTTGATGATGATTCTTTCTGCTCTTGATTCTTCCTTTTCGTACGTGTCCGAGGTGTTTTCAACATTCCATCTTCATGTGTGATTCTCCCAAAACCATCTACATCAGAAGTAAACACAGTTGCCAAACCAAGATTTGCGTTTTGGTCAACATACTGGTAGAGATCATCAACGTTTATAAGTGACTTGTCCATGAAAACGTAATCACCCTCTAGCCCTTTGAGTATGCCATAATCCATAAGCTCCATTACAATCCCATGACCTTTGTTATACAAACTAGTCATGCTACCAAAACCCAGATACCCTTCCAAGATCCAGTAAGTTATCAGCTCATTGTAGTGAACACTTGCTGAATCACGAAAGAAATGGTGACCACTCCACCATAGATCTTTCAAAATACTGATGGGCAACACATCATGCTTCATGCACAATAACTTGTTTACACTGTACTTGCGAGATGTTTCTTCCAACTCCTTTTCAAGAATAGACATTCTAGATGGATCTACACCAAAGTAATTCAAGGATTTTGCTATCATAATAACTGTACCAGGTAAACCGTTACTTTTTTCCATCAATGTTTTACCTAGATCTAGGATTCTTTCCTTATTCCTCAACTGAGCATCAAGTTTTCCTATCAATAAAGCATCAGACTCTTCTTTAGGGAAAGCTTCAACCTCAATAGCATCAGAAATATCTTCATGTTCCCTCTTTAATCTTGATATTAAAAGAGTTTTGAAGTTTTCATTAGGAAACATTTCATTCCATAGTGACCAAAACTTTGTTTCATTCGAATCATGTTCAGTTTTGTGATCTAGGTGAACATCATCTAGAATTAGAAGAATTTCCTTTTCTTCAAGTTTCGTCTTTTCCTTTTCTTCAAGTTTCTTCTTTTCCTTTTCTTCAAGTTTCTTCTTTATCTCTTTAATCAAAGTTTCTGAGTCTTGAACCTTATCATCGTTGTCCTTTAGTTCCTTATTTTCATCCCCATCCTCCCACTCCTCATAAGTAGTAGGAAGTAAGCATAGCTGTTGAGCAATACTTTTAGAAAGAGACTCTTTCGTATACTCTTTGCACATAAACACCCAAAGTGTGAGATGGACAATTTTCCTCCTGGTAGCACGCTCACTTACTCTCTTTGCCATCCATGTTTTCCCAACTCCTGGAGGCCCAAACAGATTTACCTTTTTGTGATGTTTTAGGCTTTCACATATTTTGCTCACATGCTGAATTGAACTCAGCACCTTTTCCTTGCCACTATTATTCTACAATTATAATGAATATAAAATAAATTTAGTACTTTAGGAATGTAATCAAAAGTGATAAAGTTATATGATGGTCATTTAAAACCCATGTACTAGGTGATGGCTTTATTCTCTCAATTAAGTGAATTAACACATAAAGGTGTTTAGCATAATCCATCAACTTTAATAAAATTATGGATACTATTTTCTTCCTTTGTAGAATTCTTAAAAAAACACAAAGGGTGGTTTCAAAGAGGGGTAAATAGAAGACCATATATCCCTAATTTCTAGAGTTTTGACTAAAACAGAGTGGTTAGAAAACAAATTTATTTATACATAGTCGTTTTGAATTTATTTACCAAACAAAATAGACTCTACCAAATATGTGATGACCAAAATGCCTATTTGTGTTCCCTTTATCTGTCACACACTAAAACTCTTACCCTGTATCTAGGATGACTTCATGTAAAAAAAATCAGTACGTGCTTTTTCTCCTCATAGACATGAAAAAAGTATTTTGTTGTAGTAGTAAAAGCACTATATATTTTTTAATTATTTTAACTCGATTCAATCCATTCAGAAGAGATTGGAGATGGGGAAATAACCATCCATGACACTAAAAGTTTAATGAATCCACCTCCACATAGAATTGTTAACTATTTGAAATCATGTTATATAGATTATTATAGGATATGTGGATTCCTAATTTTTTTTCTCCAAATGCGGTCTTGGGTGGATAAGACTGCACTCCGGTATATATAAATGTGAATAAGACCATATGTCAAGTCGATGTGGAACACTAACACACCCACCGAGGATTAGATTAGACTAATGTGTCAAAGCTTGAGGTGCTCAACTTTGGCTCTAATACTATGTTAATTAGATTGTTATATGATGTGTGGAGTCCTAGATTTTCACTCCAAAAGATCCACTAAAGAGAGAGGGTCAACTCCAATATAACTAGAGGTGAATGAAATTATCTATAGTCAACAAGGGACAATAACACATCCTATTTTATTAGAAAGTTCTTACCTTAAAGTTTTAAACTATGATCTATTTGAATCCAACTTCATAATGTCATTCCCTACCATGTTTAGGTCGATCCAAAATTCACATAAATCGAGAAGAAAACTTCAAGTCCTCTAAAAAAGATGGTAAAATGGTATACTAGTTTTCTGGAACCTTAGTAGTAAATATGTAGGGTGTGTGTATGTATGTAAGTGTGTGTATTCATTTTCTTCTCTCGTATGATAATGGAAGACTCTAGTATAAATAGGTCTCATTTCATTTGTAATCATCCATCAACTTGTGTAAACTTCATCTTATAAGATAACTATATTTAGAAGTTTGTTCTTAGTTTCTTCCCTTGTATACTTGTTTACAAAGGTGCCTCGATTTAGGCTACTTGGCTTTAGGACAAAGTGTGAATGGTGAACTTGGAGAGAAAAGTCTATGAGAAGTGATATCAAATTGGGCTCTTTCAAGGGATGGGAGAAGGTTCCAAAACGAAGTTTAAGTGAAGGCAATATGTAAAATACTAGATTTAAAAATTGAACTACGGATGCCTTATCAAGAATGAAGCCCAGAAGTATAGTGAACAGTCCTTGTGGAGCACATTTGAGACAATAGATTATTTTAAAACAAGAAATAAACAATGATGATCTCTTAAATAAGATAAAAAGGATCTTATGGAAGACCTTAATTCGCATAAAGGTTTTACTGTTCAAAAATAATTTCTTTTAATTGGTTATACCAAGGAAGTCAACACTGATCAAAATTTATCTTTGAAGAATTTTATGTCAGACCGATAGTTGGTCACTTCGAAAAAGAGGTGGCTTAACTACGTATTGCGTGGAAGGTTTTTGGGATGGGAATAATGAACGGTATATTTGATATGATCAAAGCATGTGATCTTTGTCGAAGAAACAAACGTTTGTCTGGAAATGTGGCGAGGTTGCTACAACTTATACGTTTACCTTTGAAGGTATGGAAAGAAATCATAATGGGCCTCATATATAGTTTTCTAGACTCCGGACAAATGAATTTTATTTTTGTAGTAAGAGGAATGAATTTTATAATTATGGTAGTTGACCAATTGAGCAAATAAATTCCTTTATTTAGTCACCTCGAAGCATCCATTTACAACTCAATCGGTAGCTAAATTTTTTACCAAGGAAATTACTTATTTACATGCTTTAATGTCAACCAATATGGATTATAGGTTGAATTTTCGTAAGTCGATTTTTGAAATAGATTTTGACAAGGGACCAACAACGAACTCGCCGATTCACCTATGGATTGTTGGGAACGTGGAAAGACGGTCAAATTCAAGTCACATATTCTTCAATTTAAAATTATATTGAATATTTTAGTTCCATAGTTTGATTTTTTATTATAGATTTTTGTTTTTTTATTCCATAAAGTAAAAGTAATAATAACCTTATTTATTATTACACTAGGTTGCTTTTCTATTTATGATCAATATTAATGTCCGAATTTAATGTGTCGGTTATGAATCTTCACATTTATTATTATTGTAATGATTTGGAGTTTACTAGTCTCCTCAGGGCCGGTCCTGAGGATTAAAATGCACAGGACGAACCGCAAAAAAGGTCCTAACGTCCGACGAATTAAATTATATAAACCCAAGTTTTTTTAAAACGACAATAAGTTTCAGAAATCTGCTTTTCTCGTGTGAAAGTATTAATTTTTTTGAGAAAATTAATTGGGTTGAATCAAAATGGCCAGGTTCAGCCTCTCCGACTACAAGTACAATTTTTCGAGAAAAATGCAATTTAAAACATAAGTACTTGGTGAATTAGCAATCAATTACTTTAATGAATCTAACTTTGACAATATAAGTACTTGGTGAAATAGAAAACCAATGCAAATATTATAATAAAGTTCATTCTCCGGTTTAAATTTTGTATTATATATAAAGCAATTAGAGCATCCCATCTTTGGTGTAGTGCTATAACTGACTGAATTTCTAATTGAAGCACAAACAACAGGTATGCCTAGGCTTCACAATAGCATAATTGAACATATAAAATTGCTAATTGAAGCAGAGACACATACACACAGTTGGACCTTTAATATCAAAAAGACCAATTGTTTAACATACATGTTTAACATTTCATTCAAAAACAACAAACATAAAATATAGCTTCATCTCCTCCTACAATCTAATGCATTAAATAGATTTCAATCAAGTCATAGAAAAAATCAACAGGTATGTCAGAAACAGTAGTACAAAATCAGTAATACAATCAACTTAATGGAAAAAAAAGAGCAATACAAAATCAATTAGCTTGTGAAAAAATCACAAAATTAATCTAGATTTTCTATATAAGAGACATAGGGAACGGGAAGAAACAAGATGAAATCTAGGAAAACGAATCAGAAAGAAAACGAACCAGAAAGCCAGAAAAATATGAGACTAGTTCTTAATAATTTATATATAAGAAAATCAATCACAGAAGAATTAAGTTCAACTATTATACAAATTAATTCAAAATCAATTAGCTTGTGAAAAAATCACAAACCTGCAGGCACCAAGAAGAAAGCTAGGAAAACGAACCATAAAGAAAATGGAAAACGAACGAAAGTGAAGAAGGAGGCCGAAGGATTGAAGCGCCAAAGGAGGAAGAAGGAGGCCGAAAAGACTGAAGCGCCGAAGAATATATTAAAAAAAATGGGCCCCTAAAAATTTTGGGCCCTGTTCCACTGCCCAGTTTGCCCCTGCCCTACACCGGCCATGAGCCTCCTATATAAGAAGACTAGATTGTTATGTCGAGGACATTGAAATATTATAATAAAAGTCTCTCCGGTTTTGGATTCTCTTTATTCTTTGCTAGAAAATGTCTAGCTTTTATCGCTTCCATATTGTGTGATACGCGAGGGTTTGCAAAATCCGTCCCGTGTCAAGTGGTATCAGAGCTCGTTAGTATCCTGATGACATAGTACGTTGGATTTAATCGTGAGGTTGATGTTCTTTCTTGGGTGATGGATAATTTTGTCGTCGAGTTTGAACAACTACGTGTCGCGATCGTAGATGGTCAAAATAACCACACAAATCGCGATGGATAATTTTGTCGTCGAGCTTAATTATTGATACTCATAATGCTAATAATTTTGTCTCACATGGTCTTATTAAGTACTTAGAATTATCAATAGAGACTTATGAGAGCGGAAAAGGTAAAGTTTGCAGGCTCCCCATTTCCATTGAAAAAAACCTATAAAGATGATGTGTTTTGCGAGGTTGTTGACATGTATATATGTCATGTTCTACTTGGAACATCATGGCAACAAGAAGTCAGTGATATTTATAAGAAACAAAAAAAATATCTACATTTTTAAATGGGAATAGAAACGAAATGCATTACTCCATATCAATGCAAAAACCCAAGTAGCAAAATCGAAGGCCAACAACAAATAATTGGAGACAAACGTATAGATATTAAAGACAAAAACTTTAATAATAATGGTTTTGATGAATCTCAAGGTAAAGAGAATGTTAGAAAGGATATCAAAGTCTTTGTCAAAATTTTGGAGGAGGAAAATAATTTTAAATTGATAAAAGAATGAGATATCAAAGCTCAATATTCTAAAGAAAATAATGGTTCAAAATTTCTTCAAAATGCAACATACTTGGAACATGGATGATATTGAGAGCCCAAATAAAAAGTTAATGGTGGATAATGATGAATTTTTCAACGTTGATCAACAATATTTCAACCAAAAATGCCTACTCTAAGAACTCGAGGATGAGTTTTTTTCAAGCGAGGGAGATTGATAAGGGACCAACAACACAACTCGCTGATTCACATATTGATCGTTGGTAGATCTGACAAAACATGACACGACACGAAAACCCGACACGAATCCGACACGAAATTAGCGGGTTAGGGTCAAAGATTTTGACACGTTTATGTAAACGAGTTGACACGACTCGACACGATAATTAAACGGTTAGGGTTAGGGTCACTTTCAACTCGAAGATGACTCGAATATGACCCGTTTAATTATATATTATTTATTATAAATTTCATATTTTTATAAATATATTATATGTTATAGACTTGTAGTGGGCCAAACTCAAGAATTAGAAATAATATTTAAATTTTCAAAGTTACTTAATTTTAATCATCCTCACCACTTATCCTCTTCGCTCCCCAACTTTAACTCTTTTCATTTTGCCTTCTAAATTTAATAAATTTTTTGTCATTTCATCTCCTAACTCCAATATTTCACTTTTTCATTTTTGCATCCATAACTTCTACTTTCCAACCTTTAAAATGTTTCAAGCAGACATGACACAACATATTTACAAGGTCTAAACCTTAACCCGGAACTCGACACGAAACCGACACGAAAATAAACGGGTTGACACGACAAGACACGATAATTAAACGGGTCGGGTTAGGGTCAAGCCCTTTCAACCCATTTAATGTGTTGACACGACACGAACCCGACACAACACGACACGTTTGTCAGGTCTAATCGTTGGGAACCTGGAATAAAAGTAATAATAACCTCATTTATTATTACGTAGGTTACTTATATATTTAGGATCAATATTAATTTGTAGGTTTTTTTGACCGAATATAATGTGTCGGTTTTAAATCTTCGCATTTACTTTTGTAATGATTTGGAGTTTACTACTATCTTATATAAGGAGACTAGATAATGTTGAGCATATTTCCTATATAAGAAGACTAGATTGTAATGTTGAGCACATTGAAATATTATAGTAATAAAAAGTTTCTCCTGTTTTGGGTTCTCTTTATTCATTGCATGAAAATGTCAAGCTTTTATTGCTTCCATATTGTGTGATACGCGAGGGTTTGCAAAATCTATCGACGTTAGATTTTTAAGCTTCAACGGACAGAATCGAGTAAAGTACACCTTTCACCCTCAAATAGATGGACAATCAAAAGTTGTGAACAAATGTTTAGAATAATACCTTTAATGTTTCATTTTAGACAAACCAAAGCAATAGAACATATTTCTCCCTTGGGCCGAATATTGGTAAAAATATGTTTTTTGATGCGGGTTTGAAGAGTTCTCCTTTAAAGTTTTCTATGATCGATCGTGATCCACCACCATTATTACAATAGTAATACTACAAAGTTGGATCAGGTGGAGCAAGATTTTTTGGAATGTTATTGTATTTTGGAAGAGCGGGAAGGCAACTACTTCAAGTGCAGTTTTGTATGAAGCAAAATTATGATTTTGGTAGAAAAGAGGTTGAATTTTATGTGGAAATTGTCCAAAATTGGATGCCCATTTTTATATGGATCGTATCAAATCTTAAACAAGGATGTGCAAAGTGGCTTATCAGCAAGATCTTCCACCAACTTCAATCATTCAACTCGTGTTTCACGTTTATTAGTTGTGTCATACTTTGAAGCCATTTGGGAAAATTTAGAATTACTGTGAGCTAAGTTGTCCGGTTGTCACCTTGAGGACAAGGTGAAACTTTATGGGGAGGTATTGATAAACCATCGATCTGGTCCTTTATGTTCGAGCCTTTCACTTGTTACTAGTCCTTTATGTGTTTTTTGTAATAAGGGTGTTAGCTTGGGGTATTATTGTCATTTCCTAGTTACGTCGGTGTTAGTCTAGTACAAATACATAGTCTGTCGGAATTTGTTGGTAGCAAGTTCAAGGCTGCCAACGTTATTAAAGCAATTCACGGACCTAGCTAGTTCCGGTGAGATATGGAGAAGACAAGGAAGTCCGGGAAAAATGCTACAAGGATCAAAATACGTTAAGAGCTCTTAAGAAGATGATAGAAAAATATACTAGTACAATAAGTAAAATCATTAATTGTAAATATCCATGATAGGATTTTTCTTGATATTCAATTCAACTGTATTTTTTTCTTTGTCATACCACAAGACTAAACATGTAAATTCATTTCATTTTTAAACATTCTAACGTAATACAAGTCTTTTTCTCATTTAATTCTTTGTTTTTAGTCGTTCGCCTCATTCGCTCTGGCTTGTTTACTTAGCATGATTGCAATGGCTTGCTATATTTGAATTTATGGATGTTATCTTTGCTTATGATATTATAAAATATTTTAAACTGTTTATTTGACTAAAATAATAATAATATATACATGATTTTAATGTTTTTCTTTTCAATCGACTAAATATCCATCTATCTGGCATCTAAAATATAAGTAATATGCTATTTTAAAGAAATTAGCCAAACATATAACAATTCAGAAAACTAATTGGTTTTCGAAATATAAAACAAGATAGAAAGAAAATAAATAGTACTACAGTTTTCAAACGTCTTTGTGGAGAAAGAGACATTGTTTTGGATTTTACTTGTTACCACTAATTTTTATCTATTGTTGATTTTTTGCACGAAGACAAGTTAAAAAGTGAAGGCGCAAGGGAGAAGTAAATAGAAAACGGGTTTTATTATAAGGGGTGGAGGCAGGGTTTAATTTTGTTTTCTGTTTTTTTAAAAGAAAATTTATGTATTTTTTCGGGTTTTAGTTTAAATTCTTAATTTTTTGGGTTGGTCGTACTTTGATCATGTTTCTATGTAGATTTTGGTCCGTATTAAACTTAAAATGGCTAATATGCCCTTTTAATTTGGTTTTCTTATTTTCTTAAAAAAATTATGAAATGTAAATTTGAAATTAAATAACTAATACAACAATCTAAAACAAAATAAACTGCAACCTATTACCTATTACCAAAACCTAAAATAAATATTTTTCTAAAATTTAAGTTATTCTTTAATATAAATTTATTATAAAAATCATTTCTTGATTAGTTTCATTTCCATAGTTACTTTCTCTTTAAAAAATATAGTTTCCTTGTAAAGTTTTAACTTTCTATTTCAATGAACAGTAGACATCACGTTGAATAGACATACAAATTTTTTTAACTGAAAAATCAAAAACTGATTATAATTTGTCATGTTTGGGTTTATCATGAAAATATATGATCGGATAAATACAATAATAAATATTTTTAATTAGATTATGCAATTAAAAAGAATCTAAGATAAAGAAAAATAGCTTTATCTAATTTCTCTTAACAAAAAAAAATAATATAATATCTAAGAAGTCAAAAACAAAAAATAAATTACGAAAATAAAAGCATGTTCTGTTTTATGTTCAACAAAACAAGAAGTTGGATTTTGGAATATGATCGTAAGTTACACAATATTAAATATTATCATAACTTAAAATTTTTTATCTGTCCTAAATCGACATTATTTGTTTTCCAATCTATTTACAAACTTTTTATATAAAATTAATTATAATTAACATATATAACTAATATTACCATAAGATAAAATAATGTCCTATAATTGATATTTCATTTTTATAAGAAACTTAAACAAACCTACTTATTATTAAACTTTTCAATAATCATTTTAAAAAAATTTAAGAAATGTTTGCTTATTTTTCTACGATAAAGTTAACCTAAAATTAGGTATCAATAATATGTATTATTGAGATAATTTTGAAAGTATTAACTATTGATGATTTAATATCATCAATATATTTATTCTAATTAGGATGTTATTCAGTACAAGTTGACTTCCGTTTGATTATATTTCGAGATAAAAGATATGGATGCATTTTCGGACAGCTAATTAGGACACGAGAACGTGGGGGTTCGGTGGCAAGGCCCCAAGTTGAGTTGCTAGGCGCATCGCACATTCGGAATTTTCCTGCCAAAAACCTAAGGAATACGCCTTATCCAAATTGGCGTCTTTTCACCTTTAAAACGGTCATCATCTTAATATATAATTAAGGTGTTGGCGTAGAGAAAGATAGAGAACATTGGAAAATAAGTTTTTATTCAATCTACAAGATTTGTCTCAACATAACACAAACAAAGCAATGTATTTTGAGTTAGGATCTCAAATTTTGCCTAAAATTTGGATTTGTTTTTTCTTTCGTATCCCAAATCGGATTTCGTGATACTTCATGACAATAATTAAAATCACATAGTATTTTGGAAAGTGTATTATGTATATGATCATGAATTATCAGAGTGTTTTCATTGATATTTGAAACCCAAAATCTAATATTAACTTTGCGTATAAAGAGAAAATTGCAAATTTAGTCAAATACACTAATTAATTTGTGGAAAATAGCCAAAAAAAACCCAAATTACAAAATTAGCCCTTAAAATCGCAGATGGATTAAGCCCATCTGCGATCTCGCATTTCCATCTGTGATTTTGTACATCCAATCTGCGATTTCGTAGCTATTTTGTATAAAAACGTTTTTTTTTCTTCATTTTTCACTATCTTTTTTAGAGAAAGTCTCTCTATTTCCACCTCCCACCAGTTAAAACACAAAACAAATATTCATTCATTTTTTTAAAGAGGTTTTAACAAATTTTCTAAAGAAATAACAACAAAAATGATAATTTTTTGAAAAAGTTTATATATAATAAGGTTGTTTCGTAGTCAAACCCCTATCAATTTCGCAGTCAAAATAAAATAAAATAAAAACAAAAAAAAATCACAATATTGCAAGTGAATAGAGAGGAAATCGCAGATGGACATAGTCCATCTGCGATTTTAGGCTGGAAAAGGGGTATATACACAACGAAAAAAAACCATCTGCGAACGTAAAAATAGCTAAAGCACGTCTGTGCTTTAGCCACTTTTACGTTCGCAGATGGCATGGCGAAATCGCAGATGGATTATACCCATCTGCGATTTTAGTGGCTAATAAAAATGCAAATTTGGTTTTTTTTTGCTATTTTCCACAAAGTAATTATTCTATTTGGATAAATTTTTAATTTTCTCGCGTATAAATCATTTGGATAATTGGTTATAGATTTTTAGTTAATTAAGTTGAGATATTAAAAACAAAGCATGTAAAACAGTTTTTTTTTTTTTTTTTTTTGGTTAATGAAAAATGTGTAAATAATATATTGCAACTAACTATGCACAATAAAGTACCATATAAAATAGACGAAACATAGTAAAGTAGCCAAAGTGTAAGAAAAACCTGAGAATTTAGGTCTTCCATTTTGACGTGAATATCCAACGTACAAATCTATAAATTAAAGGAATTGTTAGATAAACTTCAAAAAATAAAACAAGGGTTACAAATTCATGTTAAATTTGTGGCAAAATCAACCAAATAAATGTTTGGGGAGTACCACTAATGGATTATAAGCAATGCTCAATAGATTTATGAGAAAATATATGAAATATTAGCAACACAGTTTGATTTTTGAGAGGGAATAACCTGTGAATTCGATGGTTTTTATTTTTGGTGATTTGGATATTTGTTGTGGGGGCGTATTTATAGAGCTCACGTAAGGCGTCAACAAGAGAATTTTAATGACGAGTATATATCAAGTGTTGGGGAATAACTTCTTTGCTTCCCGCTTAAAAAAGGAGACGTGAATGGAATAAAGTTATATAATATGCATCAATAGTTGTACTCTATGCTTCAAACATTTGTACCATATACACTTATTTTATGAAATGTGGAAAACACAAAGAATTTTGTGAGGATAACTTCAAATATAGGTAAATTAGATAGACGCTAGTTGTACTATATGCTTCAAACATTTGTACCATATACACTTAGTTTATGAAATATGGAAAACACAAAGAATTTTGTAAGGATAACTTCAAATATAGGTAAATTAAGAGCATATTTCTATGTAAGTTTTATTGTGAGCTTTTACTATATGGTTGATTTATAAGACATTATTTGAGGACATGATTTTTTTGCTAATTTTTGTTAACCATTCGGTATATGTTAAATGATCAGTATAATTTAATAGGTTGAAGTTTTAAACTTAACCCTTCTATATTTAGTGCGAGTATTTGTTAAATCAATGTATTGTATTATATTTGTAACATCCATAAAAACAATGATAAATTTAAACTTTTTAAATACAACCCAAAACCATAAAGTGTTTACAAAATAGTTTTCAAAACATTTTCGACATCAGAGTTTCCCAAAATCATAGATCATAAACAGAGGATGTGTACGGTCATGCATTCGTCTTCCCGCGGTCATCTGAAGTAACTGAAACATAACCAAAAACTGTAAGCCAACGATTAGTGAGTTCCCACAAGCTACCCACACATAACATAAGCATAATAACAAACAACATGCATATAGAGCCTTCAGCCTGATTGGAACGCCGCACCGGCCTACAGACTATCTCGTACGATCACAGAACCGCCAGCATGACTGGTACGCTCACCGGGCCTTCAGCCCATCTGGAAGGTTCTTCCGACCTTCGGCCTAACTAGTACGCCCCTCAGGCCTGCAGTCTATCCGGGACGCCCTGGGTCTCTTGGCCTTCAGTCTACACTGGTCCGCCTCAACCCAACCACACATAACCATCTCGACATATACATAACAGATAAGCATACATATAACCAGTCTACAGACAATCAGACAGATCTTACAGATCACTAAGCATAGCATCATCCTATATACCGGGATACTGATTTAACGGATCACCACATCACAAAACATACTATCACATAAAAAGATATCTAATCCAATGGTCCGGCCTTGGTGTCTTCGACCTACAACTACAGTGAGGAAAACTCACCTCACAGACTGAACAGTAGCTGATGAGGTCCCGACTCCGAATCTCAGCTCAAACTGTCACCTATCCAACCAAATGACCAATCATAATCAAAATCCCAAAATACCCTAAAGTCAAACTTGGTCAAAGTCAAAGTCAAACTGGTAAAATCCATTTAGTCAACTAAGTCAACACACCTGAGTCTACTCAGCCAAGTCTCCTCAAAATGAGTACGTGGGGCGTACTCGCCTCCTCGCAAGTTGACCACCATCGGCGTGGTTGACCTCGTATGTAGGGCGTACTCCCACAAGCTCCAAAACCTAATAAGTGCTTAATGGCTTAAGCACTCACGTCCATATTTCAGATCCATGGCTAAAATACACTTAAGAGTCATAAAGTTTCCGACTTTATGACTTTACATGCCCATTAAGTGCTTATCTATACTTCTTAATCCACTAAGACATTCTACAAGATGTATGGAGCAAAACCAACCATTTGAAACCCATTTTTATGACTCAAGACCCGGGTCTAAAAGGACAGCTTAATGGGTTGAGAACATGTTTTGTTCATGAAACACCACATTAGGGACAAAAAGGACATAAAACTAACCCAAAACAAGATCTACAAGAAACTACACCAAGTTCAAAACTTGATACCTCAAAATGGTGCCAAAAGGTGGTGTGATCCTGGATCTAGAGAGCTTAAATTCAAGGTGGTCTCCTCTTCTTTCCTTCTTCTTCAAGAGCACAAAACACACCCACTTAAGCTTAGAAATGCTTCACAATAGGGATTAGGGTTGCAAAAACGTATTAAGAGGGTGGAGGTTGATAAGGTGAGGGAAAATGAGGCTATATTGGGGTTTAAATATGAGCCAAATCCAAAAAATTAGGGTTTGCATGTATGACACGTACGCCATGCGTACTAAGGCGTGCCTTAGTACGCTAAGTGTACACACGTATGCATGACATACTCTCAAACCTCTAAAATTACGAAATTTCCACTAGGGCTTCCCATGCACACTTCCTTCTACTTAGGGACCCAAAAATGCAACATAATAAAATTATAGGGTTAACATTAGAAGTACCTTATCATCGGGATGTTATAATTCTTCCCCACTTAAACTATTCTTCGTCCTCAAAGTCGGCCGCAATGAATAACTCAGAATAATGCTCCCTTATCTCAGTCTCCGACTCCTAAGTCCACTCGGAGTCTCTCTTATGCGGCCACTGTACCTTTACCAAAGGTATCTCCTTGTTCTGTAGAACCTTCATCTTCCTTTCTAAAATAACCATCAGTCTCTGAACGTAGTTCAGACGCTCATCGACCTGAATGTCATCCAAGGATACCACTGCCTCATCGTCCAATATACACTTCCACAACTGCGAAACATGGAAAGTGTTGTGAATCTGACTGAGTTCCTCAGGTAGATCCAACATGTAAGCTACCTTTCCAACCCTAGCAATCACCTAAAAAGGTCCAATATACCGGGCCCAACTTCCCCCTCTTCCTGAAGCGTATCAGACCTTTCTAAGGTGAGGCCTTCACTAATACCATATCTCCGACCTGAAATTCCAACTCCGATCGACATCGATTAGCATAGCTCTTCTTTTGACTCTATGTTGTCTGCAACCTCTGCCTGATATGCTGAATAAGTTCCGTGGTCTGAAGGACTACTTCGGTCCTCCCATGACCCTTTGACCAACCTCTCCCTAACAAACCGGGGTACAATTTCTACGACCATACAAGAGCTCAAAAGGCGGAGCACCAATGCTGGAGTGATAACTATTTTTGTAGGAAAACTTCGCAAGAGTTAGGTAGGAGTCCAACTCCCACCAAAATCAATAACAAAAGCCCACAACATATCCTCAAGGGTCTGTATCGTCCGCTCACTTTGGCCGTCGGTCTGCGGATGATATACAGTGTTGAAATGTAGCCTCGTGCCCAGTTCCTCGTGGAACTTCTGCCAGAATCGGGAAGTGAGCCAAACATCTCGGTCAGAAACAATGGAAACCGGAACCCCATGGCGAGAAACAATCTCTCGGACATAAACATTGGTCAACTTTTCGGCCGAAGAGCTCTCCCAGATGGAAAAAAAGTGGGCACTTTTGGTCAATCGATCCACGATGACCCATATAGCATCAAAACCATTTGTCGTCTTCGGCAACTTGGTATTAAATTCCATGGTGATCTTCTCCTCTCTCCACATGGGAACCTCCAGAGGCTGTGGCTTTCCATGAGGCCTCTGATGCTCAGCCTTGACCATCCTGTAGGTCAATCATTTCTCGACATACCAGGTTATCTCCCTCTTCATACACGACAATCAATAGCTCAATCTCAAATCCCAATACATCTTGGTGGCTCCCGAGTGTATAGAAAAGTGAGACTTATGAGCCTCCTCTAACACAATATGTCTGATCCTGCCAGAAACTGGAACCCAGACCTGACCACACCGGGTCAACAACCCTCGACTATCCGTGACAAATCTGTCAATCTCACCTATGATCCTTTCCTGTTTCCATTTCTCTTTCCAAACCCCTTCTACCTGGGCCTCTCTGATCAATCCCACAAGTGGAGAATCAATGTATATCCTCATACATGTCTCCCTGACTGAAGACCCAGCCGACTTGCGGCTCAAAGCATCCGCCACCACATTCCCTTTACCCGGATGGTAAAGGATCTTGCAGTCATAATCCTTGACCACGTCCAGCCACCTGCACTGCCTCATGTTTAGGTTTGGCTGGTCCATCAGATATCTCAAACTCTTATGATCCGTGTAGACACGACAACGGACCCCATATAGATAATGTCTCCAAATCTTGAGGGAAAACACCACTGCCCCTAACTCCAGGTAATGTGTCACACCCGCAGACCAGAACGGCGGAAGCGTCCGGAGGCGGGTGACGTCATTGTGCAGTATCATAACAATTGAATATAAATTAAACATAGCAAATCCAAACATCATACATTAAGATAACAAACTTACATTGTTTTTATATCATGTATTTGTTCTCAAATTACACAAAAGAGACATTAGTAAGTAAATTCCCAACTACAGCAAAATAATCCAGAATCCGTGATCCATAAACTTGCTAACTGATTTCCTAAGAATACAAGTCGTTTGAAAAGCGTCAACATAAAATATGTTGGTGAGTTCATAAGCATTTTTACATAAAAATTGTGATAGTTTAGAATCCAGAAAATCCAATATTTTTCTATTAAAATAGTTGTAAGTCTTGTTTCCAATCAAGTATAGTTGCATGTGTACTTTAGTTTATCATCTTTCGAAAATTGTATAAAAACCGTTTTTCCCCCAGAAAATCCTATATTTTCTAGATATACAAAGTAGTAGCCTTAAAACCCTACGAGACTTGTGTGATAAAATTTCGTTTGAGGTAACCAAACCATAGTTGATTATAAACAATAGGTGTAATCCGCGTAAATATATTTTTGTTATATTCTAAGCGAGTCATTATAACCATACTAATATGACGGAGTGCCTGTCTAGAAATTCTTCAGGCGTCGGTTTCGTTGAAGACATTTGTCACCCTAGACTGGCCGGTCTAGCTGTAGCGAACATCGAAGGTACGGGGTGTCAACCCCTTACCTAGCATATCTGGGTGCTGACCTAACCCTTCGGTCCTCTCGACCGTTGACTGCCTAGTATATCTGGGTGCTGGCCTACCCCGTGGGTATCTTTCAACCGGTAACCGG